CTATCTGGGAGCTTAAAAAGAAGGAGTTTTAAAGCCCTCTGTAATTTTTTCAACAGACGATCTGTTTCTGCTCTTATTTTGTAACGTTTCCTGTGGAGTCCACGCCCCTGTCCAATTTTCGAAGGGTATTTGGAAGCCTGTCGACTCCCGCACAGAAGGCAGGGAGCAGAGCCAGCATGGTGTCATGGAGGGGTCACGGCTTCCTGGGCTTCCTGTTTATTTTGGGAAGGGGTCACCCGGCCAGCTGGCCGCTCTGCCTGCGCCTCGGGAAGCCCCCCGCCACCACATTCCTGCCCCCATCGCCTGTGGATGCAGACAATTGCTGACTGTGGCTCGAAATGCAGAGCACCAAGGCGGGGTGTAAATGGGATAACCCGACATGCCTATTTACCCAGCCTGGGGATAAGGGGCGGAAGCTTTTCCACATCAATTACCCTTTCTTCTGGTATCTGGAAGTGTCTAAGTTTTTCCTTCTCTTCTGAGGTTAGTTACTTCTGAAATTCTCAAGTATTTCCATGATCTTTTCCTTGCTGCTTTTTTCCTACTTCAGCTTGAAAAGAGGGCATTAAGTCAACTGCGCCATGCAGTTAAAAACAGAATTGTTTCCTTTTTTAAGGAAAGCATGCAATCTTTGCTCCAAACTGTCTAGGGTAGAGCCCACCAGTGGAGCAGAAGCTGTTGCACCCAGGTTCTTGTTCACAGCACAAGAGCCTGGTAAATAAATAGTCCTGCCCAAACTGTCTAGAGCAAAACACTGGAGCAGACTATCAGCGTACATACGTATTTCGGGGGATATCCATGAACTAATGGTACATCAGTCTCCTGCTGCTGTTTCCTTTTCTAGGCAGGCTCTGCTTAGGTGCCTCACAGCTCTTCAGAAGTTAACACGATACAGCAGCATTCAATGCAGCTGTTTCCAAGGAGTTAATAAAAGGCCCCATGTATGGGAAAAGGCAGACACTGAGTAGCTGCTCAAGTCCCTCTCAATCCTCTGGCACGTCCTGCCTTGCAGGGAGCAAGTGCAGTGACCTCTCTCCGGCCTCAGTGGAGTATTTCTGTGCCAGTGCCTCTGTCAGCTCCTGCCATCAACAGTCAGCTCCAGGCTGCAGGGCAGCCGTCAGCATGTTGCTGACAAGCGGCTCTCAGGCAAGCGTGCTCTCACCCGGCGAGCACATAAGTCCACATGGCTTTACATTCATAGTGATGCTCCCGTGAATAAACTTATAAGTGGTTGTAAACATCTGCAGGATCGGTTGCTTACCATGAGCCTGTCCAAAGCCTATTTATGTCAACAAGCTGTGCCTGATTACATTCTCATTTGCATCAGTATCTTTCCCCCCCCCCCCCATGGCACTAACATTGTTGGCCCAGAATCACCTGCATCTCATAAAATCCAAAACCTCGAGGACTATTCCCAGCCTCTCTTAGTTCTGGGAGAACTAGCTCCCTAATTCATTATGGATCAACAAAGGAGAGGTGGTAGCACCTTCCAACATAATCACTTTTCCCATCTTGGCTCTGGCCATTTTGATACTACACTGCAGGACTTCTGCCTCAACAGGATGACAGTAAGAGCTGTGGAGGAAGCAGTGCATTATCTACTGCACAAGTACGTGAGACAGCTCTCGATGGGGAGGGAAAGAGTAATGCCAAGGGCACAAGGGAGCAAGTGAGGAGCACTGGTTTAGACACAGAAGGAAGGGCAGGCCCCATGGAGGATGAATATGTGGGTGAAGTGCAGGCTAGGGGCACAGTTCTAGGACAGGGGCTACATACAATCACTGCCACCAGCACAGAAGACAGGTGGGAAAGTAAATAGGACCCTGCAGGGAGGAAGAGAAACACAGCAAAATCTCAGTGTGGTTCACTGAAAAAAAGCCAAAAAACACACGGTGAGAAGGGGCTTGTCATGGCGATGTGGGGGTGGCAGACAGAGTTCATCTCAAAGAGCTGCCCCTCTCCAACCTCTCCTCTCCCTTCTTTCCCTAACCCATGACACTGGGCACACCAGAATAAGACAAAGGCTTTCCACATCATGCTAGACCCCCATCCACTCTACCATGGTGCTCCTCGGCCAGGCACTGCCCCAGACCTGCACAGCCCCACACCCCATCAGACGCCCTCCAGCACTCACTGCTCCTATCTATAGCCTTGGTGTGTCGTAGCAAGGGGCGTTTCGCAGAGATCAGGCACAAAAGGATGGTTTCTGTTTCAAAAATGAGAAAACAAAAAAAAAGGGAACAAGAAACAAACGCTTTATTTGTTCAATTCCTGTGCAGTTACTGCTGTAGCAGTCAGCAGCTTTGAGGGTTTTTTTTTTGTGATTTGATACATAAACTGCATTTCCTATGTAGCACTGCCACTATTTTTTTTATCAGTTTTTTGACATTGAGCTCAGTAACATGGATTTTTATTTGGCTTTTTTTGGCCTTTTCCATCAGAATGAATTCAAAGGCAGTAAATGTGGCAGAACCAGGATAATGCTCGTCTTGACTTTTCCATGCAGCTAGTTTTGATTAGAAATAAAGGAAAATGAATACAGATCACATTTTCTGTCCTACAGTTAAAAGCCTGCCACAGCTGAAAGCTTTGCTTTCTTCTTCCCCTGCAGCCTCGCTCAGCTAGCACTCCAGCTCTGCTCATGAACCGAAATGTGCAAACACACTGTTTCTTGGCTTTCTACCAGTATATATAAATACATGTAATTTTTTCCTTCGGAGAACCTGGAGGCTAAAGCAAGAGGGCAAAGGAGTACGTGACTAAAACATCCAAACTTCCTCTTTCATAAGCCATCACATGATGAAGTGCAATTACAATTCCTGCCTTGTCCCTGCCAATTGCAGGCTCATTGCCTCATCCGAGAAACCCGGCTTCTTCTCCCCGTGTGTGTGTGTGTGTGTGTGTGTGTGTGGAGGCAGCGATCGCTGCAGCCGGCTTGGCGAGGCTCCAGCTTCGAGCTGGAGAAAGAGGACAGTGGGTGGAAGACGAAAACAAAGATCTGTTTACTTAGCATGCATGGATAAATCGTCTTTCCAGCCGGGGAGGGGAGGAGGGAAGAGAAACAGCTTTAAAGGACTTCGATGCAATGTGAAAGGAGAGCTGCTCGGTAAAAGCGAGCCGATGTTAACCCTTGGCTCTCCGGGAGCACGTCGGGGCCTCGGCAGGGTTGTTCCCTTCTCCTGCTCCTGCACCCCGGCCTCGGCCGGCCGCCTCAAAGCGGGTACGAGCTGTGAAGGCTCCGGAGGCAGCCCCCCGGGGCAGTAGCCCTGGCCGCCACCGACGTGCGGGGCTGGGTCGGGGGCCGGGGCGGATTTTGATTTCGTTTGTGTACAGCCCGGCGCCGCCGAGACGTCCAGCCGGGCGTGCAGTTGCAAAGTCACCCAACCTGGCAGGGAGGCCAGCGCTGGAGCCAGTGCCAGGACGACGAGGAGGCCGGGGCAGGGTGAAGCAAGGTCCCACCACGGCCGCCCCAGGGCGCACGGGCGGCCGCGACACACCCAGCCCCCGGCCCTGAAGCGGGGCGAGTGGGGGGCGACTGCTGCCCCCACTGCCCGCCCGACCCTCGCGCCGGACAGAGGACGAGCAGCTGAGAGGCTCCGCTCTTCCTGGGGCCGGCCCCACAGCGCCCATCCGCGCCGTCGGGCGGCTCCCAGCCGCGGGGAGCCACCTCCCGCCAGCGGCAGCGGACGTCAGAGCTTCCCCGGCCCCGGCCGGCCCCCGCCTCCCGCCCTCCTTCCTTCCCTCCCTCCCTCCCCCGTAACCTACATAACGCCGTGGGAAGGGCGGCCCGAGCACGGCTGTCGGGGGGAGCAGCCTCCGCCGTGTTTACGCTGCCCGGGCAGACGCGTGCAGCCGGCCGTACGTGCCGGGATGCGCCCGGTGAGGGGTTGCTTCACCTCCCGTGGCAAACGGGAAGAGCGATCACCCTCTTTTCCTCCCTCCCTTGCCCCCGCCCTTTGTTTCGGTGAGGATGCAGGCAGCGGATGAGCAATTCGCAGCGTGTATGGGGCACAGGGAAACATGTCTGCAGGTTTTCTTTTTTGGGGGGGAAGGAGACGGCGTTTGCTTAGTCTGTGTGAATTTCGCTAATCTGCATTAAGAGAACCGCTGTTTTGTGGTTGAAAATGACAGGAAATCTAGAACGTCCTATTTCCTGTGCACAATGACAACAGTTAAAAAAAAAAAAAAAAAAAAAGCAGCTGGGTAATCGTTGTATTTATTTCTAATGGTGCCTCCTGGCCCGGCGGGGAGAACAAAGCCGACCCCTGCCCGGCGGTGGCGATGACCGACCGCGCCGTGCCGTGCCCAAGGTCACAGGGCGAGCGGGGCGGGGGGCCGGAGGGGGGACATCGAGCCCCTCACTGCGCCCACGGGTGGGAGGTTTCGGCAAAGCCCCTCGGCGGCACAGGAAATAGTAATGAACCCAACAATAATAATAAAAATTAGAAAAGAAGGAGGGAGCTGCAGCGCACCCCCACCCCTCGCCTTTCCCCACAGCCCTCCCCGGGGGCGAGACGGGGCGGGGGCGCGGTGTCCCTCCGGCGGCAGGAGGAACCCCCGGTGCCGGTGGCGGTGCCGGTGGCGGGGGCGCGGGCAGGGGCCGGCGCTGGATCGCGGCGGCGGCGGGGCGGGGGCGCCCATCGCGCAGGCGCGGCCGGCACTGTCGAAGAATCGAGGCGGCGGCGCGCAGAGGCGGCGGTGGCGGCTGGAGCCCGGCACGGCACGGCGCCGCCGCCAGCCCCGGCCCCGGCCCCCGTGGCAGTCCCCGCCCCGCCGCGCCGCGCCGGCCCCCGCCGCCCCGCGCCGCCCCGTAGTAGCCAGAGAGCGGGGGAGCCGTGCGGGCGGTAGCGGCCGCAGCCCTGCGCCAGGCGCGCGGCGGAGATGCGCGTCCCCGCCGCCCTGTGAGCGCCGCCGGCGGAGACGGCGAGGGGAGCGGCGTTCCCTGCACCGGCTCTGCCTGCCGGGGCGCCCGCCGCGCCCTGCTCCAGCGTACGGAAGAGGAAGGCGAGGGGGAGGGGGCCCGGCGGACGGTCCCGCTGCGGCCGCGGCACCCGAGCCTGCCCGTCGGGACTCCGGTGGCGAGGGGCGGAGGCGGCGGCGGCAGGAGCCGGAGCGGGGGGCGCTCGCCGCTGCCCCGGGGCCGGGACATGTCGTCGGCGGCGGTGGCGGCTGCTTCCCGCAGGCAGTCGTGCTACCTGTGCGATCTGCCCCGCATGCCCTGGGCCATGATTTGGGACTTCACCGAGCCCGTCTGCCGGGGCTGTGTCAACTACGAGGGCGCCGACCGCGTGGAGTTCGTCATCGACACGGCGCGGCAGCTGAAGCGGGCGCACGGCTGCTTCCCCGAGGGCCGGGCCCCGCCACCGCCCCACGCCAAGCAGCCTTCGCTCTCCGCCAAGGAGCTCCTGGCGCAGCAGCAGCAGCTCGGCCACCCCGCGGCGCCGGAGGCGGCGGCGCGGCCCCCGCCGCAGCCCCTGGAGCGCTACTCGCTGGCTGCCGAGCGGCCGCCGCCCCGGCTGGGCGCCGAGTACGGCGGCGGCCGGCACGTCAACGGGATCCTGGTGCCCAACGGCTTCCCCAAGCCCGAGGAGCCGCCCGAGCTGAACCGGCAGAGCCCGAACCCGCGGCGAACGCACGCCGTGCCGCCCACCCTAGTGCCGCTGGTGAACGGCGCTGGGCTTCCCGGCGCCATCGGCGGCCTGGGCAGCCGCGCCGCCGCCGCCTCGCTGGCCGCCATTTCCGCCGCGCCCGCCCCGATGGCCGTGCCCGTGCCCCAGCAGCCGGCGGCGGCGGCGCAGGCGGCGGGGCAGGCGGCGGGGCAGCCCGGCGAGCTGGGGCACAAGCGCCCTGGCTCCGTCTCCTCCTCCTCGTCCTCTGGTGGCGGCGGAGGCGCGGCGGGGGAGCACGACGGCGGCGCCAAGGAGAAGCGGGGCTCTGCCGAGAGCCTGCCGGCGGCGGCGGAGCTGGCCGCCGAGGGCAAGGGCCGGCCGGTCGGCGAGCAGGAGTGGCTGGCCAAGCCCAAGACAGTGCGGGACACGCTGCTGGCGCTGCACCAGCACGGGAGCCACGCCGTGCCCCCCTTCGACAGCAAATTCAAGAAGGAGCCGGGCATGGCGGGCGGCAGGCTGCTGGGCTACGAGACCAATGGCTCCGTGGCCAAGCCAGGTGAGGCGCCGGGCACCGGGAGGCGGCGGGCGCGGCAGTGGAGGGGACGACAGCACGGGGGCCTCTCTCGGGAAGCGGGGCGGGGGATGCCGGGCTGCTTTGGGCGTGCGGGGCGGCGGCCCGGCTGCTTGGGTGGCCGGGAGGTGGCCGCGGCCACTCGTTTCCGCGGTTGCTCGGCGATGCATTGTGATTGCGCTGTCTTCTTCTCATCCTCCTCCTCCCCCCACTCCCCCCACCTCTGCCTCTGCAGGGGCCCGGGCCGCCCGGAAGAGGAAGCCTTCCCCCGAGCCGGAGGGCGAAGCTGGACCCCCGAAGATCAACGGGGAGGTGCAGCCCTGGCTGCCCACCTCGTCGGAAGGGATGAAGCTGCCGCTGACGGCCACCCCGTTCATGTCGCCCCCGCCTCCCACCGCCTCGCCCCACTCCAACAGGACCACGCCGCCCGAGGCGGCCCAGAACGGCCAGTCCCCCATGGCCGCCCTCATTCTGGTGGCGGACAATGCCGGGGGCAACCACGCCTCCAAAGACGCCAACCAGGTCCACTCCACCACGCGGAGGAACAGCAGCAGCCCCCCTTCGCCCTCCGCCATGAACCAAAGAAGGCTGGGCCCCGGCAGGGAGGTGCCGGGCCAGGGGGCCAACGCGGCGGCGGCGGGCGGGCTGGAGCCCGTCCACCCCGCCAGCCTGCCGGACTCGTCTCTTGCCGCCAGCGTCCCGTTGTGTTGTACGCTCTGCCACGAGCGCCTGGAAGACACCCACTTCGTGCAGTGCCCCTCCGTCCCCTCCCACAAGTTCTGCTTCCCCTGCTCCCGGCAGAGCATCAAGCAGCAGGGCGCCAGCGGCGAGGTGTATTGCCCCAGCGGGGAGAAGTGTCCCCTGGTCGGCTCCAACGTCCCCTGGGCCTTCATGCAAGGGGAGATTGCCACCATCCTGGCCGGAGATGTGAAAGTGAAAAAGGAGAGGGACTCGTGACTCGCCTGCGCTCACCGCCCGACGTCACCTTGAACTCGAACTGCTCGAATTATGTATATATCTATAAATATATATATATAAATATATATATATCTCCAAGACAAGGGAAATGTAGACTTCATAAACATGGCTGTATAATTTTGATTTTTTTTGAATACATTGTGTTTCTATATTTTTTGAAGACAAAAGGTATGTACTTATTATAAAGGCATTTCTTCTAATTCTTCTCTTTTTTTGCCGGTTTTTTTCCCCTTTTGTTATAGCAACTATTTGTTGTGCTTCCCTGGTGACAGTTACTGTTCAATGTAGGCTGTGACTTGCGCTGCTTTTTTTAGAGAGCACTTGGCAAACCAGAAATGCTTCTAGCTGTATTTGTATGCACTTGTTTCTTCTTTTTTTCCTTTTCTTTTTTTTTTTTTTTTAAAATGCCAAATACACTTTCTGACATTGTAAAGATTGCCTTATTGTCTGTGATTCCTTATTCCTGGCCCCTGTCCTGTAGAGCTGGTCGCATGCAGGCTTGGTCTGAGGCGGTTGGGGACAAGAGTGGCTAGCCAAGGCAGGGATGCCCTTTGCCATCCCACTGGCCAGGCGAGCTTAGGGAGCAGGAGGGCTTTCTCCCAGAAATGCGTAGCTCATGTTGCAATGGAAGATCCTTCAGATCCACTCCCAAATTGCTCACTCTTTCTCAAGGGAAGTTGCCTCCAGAGTAGGATGTGGAGAAGTGTCCAAGAGGCGCTGTTGAGTTAGGGATTTCTGGGTTGGTTTGTTTTTGGTTTGGTGTTTTGTTTTTTTTTTTTTTTTTAAGGCAAAGTTGACCGCAGTTCACGTGATCAGTTGTAAGATTACAAAACTGCATTTATTCACCGATTGCATACCATAACGTGGAATTTTGATAATGAACTTAATTACCTGATTGGCAAAGGCGCCAATGTAGCACTGCCATTTCTGAAGGCCTTCAGTGTCACTTCCGGGGCTTTTGTGTCTTTGGACTAAGCTGGGGAGGTGGGGAAGAGACTCTTTTGTTTTTAATTTTACTTTAATTTCCAGATAGTGCAGATGGACTTTGATTTTGTTTATCAGTCGCCTCTAGTGCTGTTGCTATTGTTACTATCACTGACCCGGTGTTTCCAAGTAGTGGCAGGTACGGTGTGGTACAGTGACAGCAGTGACTGAGGCTCTGCCAAATTGCCCGCGGGCATATCAGTGACAGCCCAAATGTGGGTGGAGGAAACCTGTAATTTCCTTATTACGTATGCTTGAAACAAACCTACTGCTATTCTTTGAAAATGAAAATATAAACTGGTTAAAATGAAAGCAATTAGGGCTGTACATAATGGCCCCGGCCCTGCCTTTTAAGCTACTTTGGAGAACTCTTTTGTAAAGCCACTTCTTTTGATTACGCTTCTGCATCACCAAGCAGACTTCTAAAATCAATAAATCATTGGTTACTAGAAATAGTTCGAGTCTTATAGTGATGTTTTTGTGCTGTTTATAGTTTGTTGGCAACGCTGCAGCTGTACGAGCTCTTCTGTTGAGGTGTTTATAACTTGGTTATATGTGGTTGTTTCTGAGCAAAAGGTGGTGAGGTCGTCCCTTCCCAGGGACCAGCTAATAAACACTTTCCTTATCGGAAGAGGAGGTGGAGGAGGAAAAATCTGTTCAGCCAACTATAAATTTGAAAAATTTTGGGTGCTTTTTAGTCAACTGTTCTTATTGTGATAATGTTCAAACTGCAGTTTAATGCAGAGTAGATCTTTTTGGAAGACTACAGTTTTTTTAAAAAAAGAAATGGTCATTATTAGTATTTGAAGATCCGAACTGCACATGCACAGTAATTTTTTATGAAGTGTTTAATGAGCACACCCACTACATTGTGTTCCATATTACAGGTCAATGTAATATTAGATAAGACTTGCATGATAAACAAATTCATTGAAGTCAATATTACGCTTTAAAACTTATAGTCAAGATTGGTGTCTTATGTAAACACATTTAGCCAATTTGAAGAAAACGCACATTATATATATATACCTATATATATACCTATATATAAAAAAAATGCCAACTGTAAAGGATTCTTTGGAACCACTATGATCTGTGTAAATGTGTATTTAGGCACTTTATTAAAAAAAATGGAATTTGAGCTGATAGATGGTAACAAGTTCTTCAAAGTTGCTTGGCATAATACCTCACATGGGATGAAGTTCATGTTTTTGATTAAGGTGGTATCCCTATACTTTAAAGAGAAGCAAAACTGAAATCCCAAAGACTCCCTAAAAAAAAACCCTTTTGTGTTATCAGGTGGCCCAGCTCTGAGCATGCCGAGGGTGAGACCTGCTCCTGACAAAGTGTACCTTTATTTTGGGGCCAAGGGATGTTGGTGGGACTCGGTGGAGAGGCCTGTAAGGAAGCACACCTTCCTCCTCTTCCTGCCAGCCGCTTCACTTCTGCAGCTCTGGGACTCCTGGAGAGGATGGAAACTCCCCAGCTGGTGATGCCAGGCAGTTGCCCAGAAACAACATAGACGAAAAGAAATGGCACATGGTGGCTGTGCTCACACAGCTGACTTTCAGTCCCCAGACAAGTCTAATCTGCACCATAAAACTTCAGAACTGCAAAAGAAAATAAAAAAAATAAAAACTAAAATTTGAGGGTGTTCATACATAGCTCATTTTTTTCACATTGAATGTTGCTTTTTTCTTTTGGTTGCTTTGCTGAATTACAATAATGCTCCAGTGGATTCTCCCTTTATTACTATATTTCCTGGGCTATACGCTTTTTTCTTTTTTTTTTCCTATTATTTTGAAGTGCTTTAGCTGCAACAGTGCTACTGGTAATATTCCTTTTTAAACTTTTTAAAAGGTGATACTGTAATTTGTGTAGTATTAAAAGTGTTTTAATGAAGATTGTGTGATCATTATATTTTTTTCGAACTCGCTTCCATTTTCTTTTCAAAGACTTTTTTTCCTGGCAGTTCAACTGCACAGTGTTTTTGTTGATAGCTGCTAAACAACCTGCTGCCGTTTTTACATTTTATGTTTTTTGGGTTCTTTTTTTTAACTTCTAGTACTAACTATAAGGGAACTAGGAGCTTTAAACACTTCCTGCATTTTCTTGTATATAAAAAGAAACTTGAAAAAGCTACAGTTGCCCAAGTACAATTTTTTTTTTTTTTAATACTGTCTTGACACTTGTTAACAGGCAGCAGTGTGGGGCAAGAGGGGATGTGCAGAGCCAATGGGTGCTCCCCTCTGCCTGGGTCCCAGGGGGTGGGAAATGTGCCACACAAGGGAGGCTTTGACCGCCTTTGCAGTGGCCTCAGAAAACCTGGTATGTTTGGGAGCTCTCTTTTTAGATTTGCTGTAAACCAGGCCATGGCAACCGCGTGTTTTCATGAACTAGCACTTAGGCAAAGGGTATAAATACATTTGAGAGTGCTCTCTAGTGGCTTGTTATGTCAACAGAGCCCCTGGATCCTTTCCTTTTGCACCCGGGCCAAGCCTTGCTTGTCCGTCCATCCTGCTGGCAGCTCTTGGTGGGACTGGATGGGACACTGCTCTGGGGACACCCAGCCACCCGCTCGCCTGCAGTGTGGCACCTGCCCTGCTGGCTGCACCCACTCCATGTGTCTACTCTGCCCCCAGAGTAGTGTGGGACACCCCATGTGCTGTGCAGAGTGTTACGGTGCAGCTGCAGTTCCCACAGCAACACAGCCAGTCCTAAGGCGGGAGGAGAAAACACTGGACTATGTGGAAGATAATGGCACCAGCTGAGCTACTTGTAGCCCTGATTCTGTTGCTTCAGGGAGTGCTTTGCTACAACAGGGCTACAGGTGGGAGGTGTCCAGTAATTGGGCTTGAAAAGGCTCAGCCCTCAGCATTTCATGTTTCTCCTCCTCGAGCATTTGCATTTAGGTAGCTTCAATGCACCTTTTGAAAAATAATTAGAAGAAAACCCCAACCACCACCTTTACCAAAGTGGACTCTCGTCTGTCCAGATGTCACAGTCCAACCCAGTATAAACTCCGCCTTCAAATATGTGCTCCCATAATGAGGTAAGTAAAAAAAAAAAAAAAATCAGTCAAACAAAAAATCAAAGAGTTTTTTCCCCCCCTGTTGAAACAGAAGATGGGCCTGGTCAGCATATGGATTCACTTCCTGCAGCGGGTGCACTGCAGACAGTGAGCCTTGCCACTTGCCAGGCATGGCCGTGCAGCAGCAGCGCAGCTGCCCTGCCCTCATCCCATGTGGGCTACCAGGATTCCTGAGTCATCCTCCTTCCCTTGCCCTTTGTTTGCAGGAGCAGACGCCTTTCCTCTGCCAGGCCCCAAGGTCAGGCAGTGCTCAAAGCAGATGAATGGAGTGCCTGCTTATCCACTTCATCACCCAGAGCTGCTGCTCTGCTCCGGACTTAACTCTTTCACTGCCTCCATACAGCCTCTGGAGCATGCTGTGGGCTTTGAGCACTAAGTGCAGGGTTTGAATCATTTTGCTCCTTGAAAGGATGAACTCTCCCTTCTGGGAAAGAAGAAACACTGATGTTTCCCATAGAAAGCTATTAAGTGCATGTTAGTGCCCATATGGCTGTCTTGCTTGGCTGACATAGGTGCACTGAAGATGGGGTGATAGCTCTGGAGTTATTATTAGACATGCTTCACCTAACTTTGCTTTTCTTTCTGCCACTCCAGAGCCAGTTTTGTAGAGACTGGCATAGCAGTGTACATACTAAGCCCCAAAATGTTGCATCAAGTGGAAGACCCCAATAAAACAAACTCACGGAGAAAGCAGGAAGAGCTCAAGGAAACTTCTCGCTGTACTCTAGATGATTCTTTGGCCCGTCACCCCTGACTCAGCAAAGACCACAAGAAGCATCCCTGCTCATTAGCTTCCATCTCCACGCAGCACTGAGGCAAGTGTGAGAATCCACTCTGCCTGGCATAGCACCCTGCCATGCCTCCACCTCAGGGTCCCTTTGACCCCAAACCTGCTGCCGCTTGCCTTTGTGGTCCCCAGCCCTGGGGTGCTCCCATCCCATACTGGAGCACCCTGTCTAGTGCCACAGGGTGCCCTCTTGGGTGGAGGGCTGTGGCTTCCCTGACGCTCCCTGGGGAGCGTCAAATTTTGGAGGCATCTTGGAGGTGTTCAAGGTCAGGTTGGATGGGGCACTGAGCAACTTGGTCTAGCTGAAAGTGTCCCTGCCCACAGCAGGGTGGTTGGAAATAGATGATCTTCAAGGTTCCCTTTTAACCCAAACCATTCTATGATTTTCAGGGAGATTTCAGCTTCTGCATTTGGGAAGGACATTCACTCTTCACTGCAAAAATGCCAAATCTGCATTTTCCTTTACCCTCTTTCCCTATAAAATACTTATTTCCTCCTCCTTCCCCCTCAACCATCATGCCTTTTTTTTTTGGGGCAGCCATTTAAAAACAAACAGAAGACTGGATGTAGCACTTAATGCCATAGTCTAATAACGGCGGTGGATCAAGGGTTGGACTTCATGATCTCAGAGGTCTTTTCCAACCCTGCCGATTCTGTGATTCTGTGATAAGTAAACAGAGATAAAAGGTGTTATTGGTTCACCAGGTCACTTCCTTGCAGCAGGAGACAATTCCTCCTGTTACCACACTGCTGGGCTGGAGTGGCAGGATGGTGGTGGGGAAGCATGCAGGCAGTGCTCTTTGGGAGTGCCCCACCTGCAGTGGGGGCCTCACCCTGCCACCCACTCAGCCAAGGGCATGAGAGAGCAAACTGGACCTTCCCCTTCTTCTTCCCACGGTTTGGGGATTTTTTTTCCACTTTTTAAAAGCATCTTTATGAGCTGAAGGAGGTCTCATTTTTAAAAATTTATTTTTATTTTTGAGTAGATTCCCTTAATTTTTCCCCCCAGAAATTAAGGTTTTTTCCAACCCTCTTCTAACCCTTTTTTATAGGAGTGTTGTATTCTCCAACTGTATGTAGAAGGGGACTTACAGATATTAGGCAACAACTGCATAATGGAATGAGGCATTTAATTTTGTCCAGACTACTAACAACATTTTTTTTGTGTGTCTTACCTTATTCAAGTGCTGCTACGCACTAGAAACAAATAAGTTTCTCTTATAATATGTATCACCCCTCAGCTGATATTTAGAAGGCTCAAAAATTAGTATACTGATGAAAGACTTAAATGAGAGCAGGGGAAAGTGATGCTGAAGATCACCTTTCTTTCACTTCACAAAAATCAGGAAATACATCAGCTCCTGCACACCAATTCATGCCTTTGCAGATCCTACTTCAGGAATTGCAATGAAGTTAAGCCAGCATAAGGACTCCTTTTCCCATCATGCTTTCAGAACTATTTGTACTGTAATAATTAAAAACCTTCAAATACTAAGTTCCTTGTGATTTTGTTGGGGTGATTAAATAGGGTTCTATCCAGCTTCTCTATGAGAATACAATTAGAGCAACCTCTCCTTCAGAAATTGCAGAAGGAAGGTTTTTTTTCCTTGCAAAAAGTACCTCTGGGCAACACAACACATCATGCAGTAATGGCACTTCCCTATGCTTTCCTGCACCTGGAAAGAAGGGGGCTGGATGGGCCCAGCTGGGGCTTTAACTTGTTCTAATTAGTTCAGAATTTCTTCTTGGACATGTAAGCAGTACCTTCTGGCTTTCCTGGAAGAAACAAACAACGATAAACAGCATGCAGGAATGATTTTTGGATGTGCTTTTTAGAGGCTATTTTTATGATTACTTTCATATTGTGAGAGCTCCTCTATTTGTGTAAGCCCTCTGCTTTTCTTTGGAGAGACAAATAATATGTGCTCTAAATTGAACCAATTACTCTAATATTTTTATAATCCAAATGGTTATTTCATCTCACCAGTTCTGTTTCTTCGAGTTACTGTGGCTCTTTGCCCATACCTCTTTGTCTGACCATGTTAAAATTAACTTGTGAAGGTGGAGGTCTGATTTCAGCTCCTTTCCTCTTCTCTACAGCTTGGTTATTCCTGAAATCTGCCTCTTAATGGGGAGGCTCTCCACGTAGTAACTTTCTGGGACTGGTGGTGAACTCTGGTTCGTTAGTCATTCAGCCTCCGGCCACCCCTCAGGGAGGGCTTGCAGGAAGGGCTCTGGAGGTTTTTGTGATCCTGGTACTGGTAGAAGGTGGGGACCAGCAGCCCATCCCAGCCATGCTGCCTCCCAGTTATCTTCCGAGCAGGAACATTTTGAACTGCAGCAGCAGCATGTGTTTCTTCATCCTGTGTCACAAAAGTTTCCTGCCATTTAGTGTTTTGGGGTGGATCCCTTCCTTTTCTGTAAAGAGTGCCAATTTCAGGGCTGCTTTTGATGGATAACAGTCCGTGAAGCACTGGAACGACACCAATAAATGTGACTTGCGTAGGCAGGCTTCTGAGTTCCCTTTTAGCTGCTCCCTGGCTGCAGAGTGTGGGACTACCATCCCTGCCAGTTTCCCCTTATCCCTTACCCTGCTGCAAGCAGTGCCTTCCTTGGGCGAGAAGTGCCCGCAGGGGAAAGGGCTGTCCGAGAGGGCTGGGGTTTGGCCCTATTGACCCTTCTCAATGTGTTCGACCTCAGGGCTCATTTAAGCTCTTTTCAAGCAGCTCTAAAGTACCTGAACGGGCTGTTTCATCCTGATTGTGATGGTGCATTCTCACTTAGATGGTACATGGTATACTCTTTCAGGTGCCCCTCCTCTCATGACATTTCAGTAACCAAATTTTGGGCCTTGTCATTGGTACCCACAAGTGTATCAGTGAGGGTCCAAATTGCTGGGAGCTGTTGTAGAGAGTCAGGCAAGAGTGGTTTAGGGAAATGGCAAGCAATAATTGTGAAACTGTTAATGTCATCTGGGCTGCATTTGCTTTAAAAATGGGGTTAAAAAGGCAAAATAAGGTGAAT